TTTTTTCACCATCAGTATTTTATATATATATTTTTTAACTCGGTAAAGTGAGGGGGTTTTAAATGTAGCGAAGTAAAACTACTTAGGTTAAAATTTACTCGAGTAAAAGTAAAAAATTACATATTTCAAAAACTACTCAGAAAATTACAAATTACTCATAAAAAGTACTGAATTACAGTAACGTGAGTAAATGTAATTCGTTACTTTCCACCCCTGGAAGAGAGATTCTTCACAATAGAAAGACCTAAGCTTCCTCAAGGTGTATAATCTGCTCTGTCCCTGCGTGTAGACAGCTCCACTTACACGCTACTCAGCAAGCAGCATATAAACATGTCTTTTAAAAACCATCACCCAGCCTCTTGCATGGTTTTGGGATATTTGTTCATGTTTAATAAGAAATAGGGACATTCAACTAGAATACCAAGTTTTTGACTATATTCTATAAATGCTCCACAGTGTTATTCTAGAAATCTAGTTAGCCCACTAGGATTCAAAACTAGTTTTGATGTGTTTAAGATTGTCTAGCTGGAAGACTCACTGTGCCCAAGTCTCAACCATCTAGCTGTATGGTAGCAGTGAAACAGACTCTCAGCATCATGCTTGGGTCAGATGGTTGAAACTTGGAAGGAGACGATTTTACCAACTTTGCAATGAGTCCAAAAACGCAACCAAATGAGAGTGAATGGAAAAGCTAGGCTAATGGGGAGAAAAGTAGCACAGAAGTCTGTCTAGAATTATGCATGAAGCTTTTTAATGGCTACAAAGGTTGAGGTTCAACTTTGCAAATGTATCCAAATATTATTGCCATGACGACGTTTGAGTCTACAAATCCACAAAGATTTTAAGCTGATGAATTTAACTCAGCTTTTAAGGAACCAATTAAGTTGTAGTTTAATATATAGATTAACACAATGTCATTGAACAGAGGATATAAATATCTTTCTTGCCTAATTGTGCAACCAGCACAGGGACCAAAGTAACAGAAGCGTTTCCCGTGTTTCGTTTATGCATGACACACAAATTCAGATCTTTAGAAAAATACATTTAAAATCAGAAACCCATCTCTACACGACTAATGCAGAATTTCTATAACTCAAATTCTAGATTTTTTTCCTTTGTTTTTTTTTTTTATTTTGTATTTTTTATGATTATTGCAGACATTTCATCTGTACATTTACTTTGGAAATGTACAGCATGTTCAGCAAATCAGCGTTAGTCTTCTGATTTAGTTTAAAGGTTTTTAAGCTCTAACTCAATATTAGGGTCTTATTTCCTTACTCTAAACATAAACTGTAGTTTATGTAAAATCAATTTTTTTTTTAAAGCTCTATGGTAATGTGTTAAACTGGACTTAATGTAACAAACCCGTGTTTTATATAAAATCCTGGATAAGTGATAACTAAAATTCAAAGGCGTAGCATGCTATGGTAGTTAGCATGTTAGTACCTCTGAAGGCCACTCTTTTACAGCGTCTACTCTCTGTCATATTTGGTGGAGAATGTCTGTAAACAGCAGTTTCTACATTTTACCTCAGATGATGGATTTATTTTATTCTGTAACATTTTTTTCAGGATTGGCATGGATTTATTTCCCTTCATCCTACCAAGGAACATGATCAATGCATGATGGTGATTAATAAAAAATCTATGCATACAAAAAAAAAAAGAAGTGTCTTATGTTATTTCCCTATATTAAAAACTATATATTTTATTAGTTGAAATCTTGGATGACATATCTCACATCCAGCACAAGATTAGCAGTTTCCACAGCAACTCTGAAAGCATTCATTTTAGCTGTGAAGGAGTCGAGTACTGTTGGCTGCAGAGGAGAAGCTGTTTGTAGGGGTGCAGGGGAGAACTCTGCATATTTAGTGCTCAGGTAGCTCCACTTTTTGTTCTGGCAGCTTTCTACCGCTCCACAGCCACAGAGTCCCATAACTCCCTTCGGTTGTTCTTCTGTAGCATCTGAAGGGAGAATCCAGTGGTGCGCATGAGTCAGGTCGATCAGAGAAGATCCGCCGTCGTGCTCCAAAGCCATGGCCACCAACTCCAGAGAGCGGCAGAAAGCCTCGGCAACAAGACGGTACTCCGTTTGTGAGCAGCCCAAAACAGACGAAGACTTCGATATTTCATTATTGCTCTGTAAATCAAAATGTAAACACAGTCATTAAATCCAATATCAATGTAAATAGTTGGTATAAAAGGAATAAACAGAAAAGAGCTTGACCTTGTGTCTGATATAGGCAGCTAAGTGGGTTTCTGTGCAGCCACCTCCGAGTAAAGCACATGGCTCCCTTAGGGTGAGCCTCAACACATGCTCTGTTTTCTGGCAGACCAGCTTCACCATTTCGAAACAAGCATAGAGAAAGATTTTATTTACATCAAAGCACAAAGAGGCAGAAGTCAATGAAAAATAATTTTGCATCCTTCTCTTCCTTAAATCATTCAACCATCAGAACAATGTTTTTAATCTTACCTTTAGTTCATTTAACATTGTTTCATTCCTGTGGCAAAGAATCATGGAACAGACGGCTGTCTCCCCAGCAGGCTGTAAATGAACCATTTTCTTTGATCCAAACTGCTTAATGCCGACTTTATGGACCCTCCCGTATGCCGTGGATGGGATGTTGGTGTGCAGAGTTGCCACAGGTTGAGCACCTGTTTGTTAGAAAAACATATCAGGAGCAAAATGTGCTTTAAATGCCTTTCAAATGTAACAAACACTTTATTCAAACAATAATGATCAAATGTTTAGAGATTTATTCAGAGATCACAACTCCAAATCTACCCAATCACAGCGTCCTATCTAAACTAACTTAGATGGACAAGGAGAACATTTATTACAAGTCCACGAGGCCTATGGTAACTCTGGAGGTTCTGGAGATCTCCGCCACTCAGGTGGAAGAATGTATGGACTATTGGTTGTGTCCACCACAAACTGTCCCCCTTAAGGAAGAGGGATAAAAGGAAAATAGTGTATAAAGACAGCCCTGGAAAATGCTGTTTGAATTTTGTGCAAAGCTATGAAGGAAACAGAAATTATGCAAAAGAAAGTGCTTTGGTCTTATGTGGAACTTTTTGGCCTACATTCACAATTTCACTTAGAGACATGTTGTCAAATGGCAGCATCATGTTGTAAAGATGCCTTTAATCAGCAGGAAGAGCTATCAGGGTTTATGGGAAGATGGAGCTAAACAGGTTTTTCCAGATAGAGAAGCTATAAGAGGCAGCAAAGGACTCAAGCTCAGGGTGAAGGTATTGTAACAGCTGGAGCTGCAATGGAAACTTGTTAGAATGGCCTAGTCAAAGTCCAGAGCAAATTCCAGCTAAAGACCTTAACATTTTTTCTGCATCCACTATTTAAAAAGAAATCTTACCAGTCAGCTGAATAAGCGGCTCCATAAGGCTGACTCCAAGCCTCTCTATCACTATTAAACCGTTACATCTCAAGTAGTGCTGCAAGACTGGGTGGATGACTTTCTGGCACACAAATAACTTCACCTCATCATTGAGGACCTGCTTTCCAAGCTGCAAAAGCTGATCCAGGATCTGTGAATCAGTGTCCACCCCTGAATGCATCTCAATTTTACCATCTCCAAGCTCACTGAGATCTCCAGCCAGAGATGCACTGAACAGAACCATGCATAGTGGACTACATAGATGGACAGGGCCAAGGTTTTCAGGCATGTCCAACAGAAGGCCTGGAAACACGGCTGATTCTAGCACAGAGTGTCCCTCCAGGGGGACAGTGACTGTCCTGCCAAGCGTGACTGTCTCTGGGATGTTGCAGGGGACTGTCAGCAGGAAGGCTTGTACAGCCAGCCTGCTGATGTGAGCTAATTCTGGCTCTGTTAGCACACATGTCGGTTTGCTGGAGAGAACACTACGAGCTAAAGTGATCAGGCTCTGGCTGCTGCAGAAGTCCAGCCTGACTTTACAACTACAGTCCTCTTGTTGCAGGTAATCAGTGCAGAGAGTCAGAAGATGGTTGTTCACTCTGATCACCACGTTTTCCCTAAGGCCGCCCTGCTTTGCCTCTTCAATGAGGGACAGGCAGAAAACAGCAGCAAACAAACCACAGTCACTGAAGCGGTGGATGTGGCCCAGGATGGAGGTTTTTATCAGGTTGATAATTGGCTGGGATGAAGAAATGGCTTGAAGGAGAACAGAGGAAGCAGATGAAGTTACTACGGAGCCTCCGATGTTGTTATGAACCTGCTTCAGCCTGCCTGTCGGACCGTAAGAAGATCTCAGCAGCTCCTTCATCAGCTGGAGCTTGCTACACAAATCAGTGGTGTTCAGAGGAAGATCCGTACAAACAGAGGGAGATTTCTTCACGAGTCGAGACATGAGTCCAAATATGTCCGAAACTGTAGCTTTACAAGTAGTCACAGATACAAGAAAAAAACCCACACACGATAATTTGAGAATGCAACGCGATGTAAACGCTAATCCTGCTTTAAATGTGACGGGTTCAATTTGCTAAGTTACATAGCAGCTCTTAATACTGCCTAATCTAAAGATCAGCTAATAAATTGCAAATACTTATACAAGTTTTACTTAAGCTCATAAAAATACTGTAGTGCTTTGATATGTTTATCAAATGCTAAAAGAGTTTACATTTGGATTTTAATTAACAAAAGGCACATTTTAAAGAAAACAGGCACCACATGGGCACCCCCGGTTTCCATGGTAGCGGCGCTGGACGCTTTATGGCTCTGTTTTATAGATAGGATTATAAAAAAGACATTAAAGATCTGCTGTTATTCCTTGGTACATTATTAAACACAGTTTATTAAACACAGTTTTATAATAATTAATAAATTATTAAATAAATTGATTAATTTAATTAATATAATTGGTTATTTTAATAATTTATTCTTAATTATATTTTATTATAATTTAATTATATTATTATAATTACATTATTATTATATAATGTAATATATTACAACTATATATAATTAATATTAAATATATAATAACTATATAATTATATGATTTATTATCATTTAATTTTAATAAACTTAATTTATTTATTTAACTAATTCAAATAATATAATAATACATTAAATCAATTAATTATAAATAAATTAAACATAATTTATAATACTCTTTTTTTGGGGTTTTGCAACCATTTGGATTAGACAGATTTTGAAGAAAATATAGGTTTCTTATCATTCACCTTTCCATAATTTGATGTTTGAAGACTAATTTTTTTCAGTTAAGTCAAATATTTTTCGGAATTAAGGACAATTTTTTTAAAGATTTTTTTTATTCACGTTCAGATGTGTTTTTTTTTTTTTTTTCAGTTTCAGTCAGACTTTTGGCCCTGATTTCATGCAGGGGGCGTAGTTACAAAGGAGAGGGGCATCTTCAAAAAGAGACCCTCTTTAGCCAAGATGCCTTCAGGAAACGTAGGTACTGCGAGGACTGTGGCTTGATGCTTTCTATACATAATCTAGATGTGATTGGCTGTGAACAAAATAATCCTATTTGCCAAGTTAGCTTTTTGTTTTGGTCAATCCGTGTCAACAATCACAGTACACCAGCGATGAAATATGCCATTTTGTGCAGTTCAACAATGCCAATCTTTTCCACCTATTACATTGAATGCATCACTGTTTTCTTTTCTCTTCAATTTTCAAATCCTTTTCATGATAAAAAAACAAAAGATTACAGTGAACAGCACAAAACAATGCCAGGGGAAGAGAAGCAGACACAGATACAGGAATACAAATGTTCCGTAACTGTTTATGGGTGATGCAGCTAAAGAATTTTAAGTCCTCACAGCTTTGGGCTTCGATGAGGTCTCAAAGAAATTTGCATATTGTGATATTTCTTTCAAGAACAGTTTAGAACTATGTTTCTTAGTGGAAAATATGCATTTATGAATATGGAACACTTCAAAGATGAACAAAATATTGATAACATAAACGTTTTTATTCTCAGAAGCACAGACATTGTAGAAGCAGAATAATATATTCATATAAACAAGGAAAAAGTTAACAAGGATGTGAGACTAACTATAACAACTATACCAATAACTATCACAAACAATTTCCCCCCCCCAAAAGTAATGTGTTTTTGTTAAGAATAACAAAGTTATTAAAAATGAGATACATGTGTGGAGAAAAGGAATGCTTAAAGATCAGAGACCAAGCTGAATGCATTTGTTTGTGATAATTGGTCAGTTTCAGAGGTCAATTTAGAATATTATACATTCGATTTGGTAGAATTTGAAGACCTTCTAGTTTAGAGAAAATATAGGTAGGAATATAATTCCACATAGAATCTGGGTTTAAAAGAAATTTCCTGATGCAGTTAATTTTAAGTTTAGTTTAAGGAAGTGAAGTCTTGGAAATGTTGACCTCCAGAGCTTACTGGGTTTACTAGAACAGAATTTTTGATGTAGTGGCTTTTATTTTTCCAGATAAATTTTCAGAGCATTTTATCAATGGATTAACAGGTAGAGGCATCAACATTTAGTGCAAGAGCAGCATAGCCTAGCCTAGAAATACCTTCCATTTTAGATAAAAACATTCTTTCTCTTAGAGAAAGATCTCTCTGAAGCCAAGGATTTAATCATTTTGGGGTTATATTAATAATCGGGACAAAAATTTAGATCAGATCTTTCTATATCATATAGAATATCTTTAAATTCTCATCTGCCATTGGAATCCCTTCAGAGGCTGACCAGGCCTGCGACTGCATAAACATTTTTAAAAATCATAAGTCTTCCCTGTGTTAAGACTGCTTCCGCCCAAACAGCACTGCATGTACTTGTCTAATATGATTATTTGTTATTCATAAGTGACAATTTTTGTTGTTTAGCTGCTTATGTTTGAGCCAAGGAGCTCCTGCTGTGCTGCCGTCAGTCTCCGGTACTTTTCCATCAGACTCAGGCAGTGAGCTTTGATCTCCATGTTGTCCAAGGTTTGGAAGTTGGCCGCCGCCAGCAGGCTCAGGATTGTCTGCCCCAAGGTTCTGACTGTGGTCTGCCATTCCTGGATAAAACATAAGCAAATGATGGTTAAATGCGAAGAGGATCATAACTAAACCAATTATTACACTGAGATTCAACAATAATGTACACTTTTCTTTCCAGGCTTGACTAGATGCCATAATGGGTGCCCAGAACTTGGCAGGAAAAAATAGATGCTTTGGAAACAAAGTGCTAACAACAAATTAATTTATTTAGGTGGAAAGTGCTTTTCTTCTTTCGCTGGGAAATGCAGTTTAAATTGCTGCTTTGCAGAAGTATTACTGGCATCTGAGAAGAAATCATGACATCCTCTGGTGTTGTACTGCAATAAAAGGTCAGAAGGGATAAATGATAAAACATATTAATATAAGGCTAATTCAACATAGTCAGCATCTCTACATACATATCAAATGACATTAATGACAGCAGGACAGGCAGCTGCATGTTCTTCTTTTGAGTTGTTTAATAACTTAATAAATTGTAACACTATTAAAGTGGTTTATAAGAAGACTGTCTCTTAAAAAAAGGCAAAACATTATATTATTGATTCCATTCTAAAAGTAGCAGTGGTTCTTTGCATTTGTTTAAAATCATAAGCTGTAAGTCTCTTACCATTTCTGTAGAGCCTGGCTGTGGTGAGCTCCTTGTGAACTCTTCCACTGCTATTTCGGCAGATGTCTTCTTTACACGGGATAAAGCTTTGCGTTTCTGCTCAGAACAATGCTCCTCCAGAACATCCAAGCACAATTCTGCGTAGCTTAGTCGCACCTGCAGAAGTTTCCTGATGGATTTCATTGACGGGTCAAAACTCTAGAACAGGCAAGAAAACGTATCAGAAAACATGTTTGTGACTGAGAAGATGCACCAAATCTAATTAATATGCATATTATGTCCACCTGAATGCAATTTACTGTCAGTACAGATTCAACTGCACTGTAAAGGCCTTTAACATGTGTTAATATTAATGAACCAACAGGATGAGGAAGAAAAAGAACACTGCAGACAAGTCAGGGTTAAAGATGTGAATACATTTACAGCAGGGTTAGGATGTAAAACAATGAGCCAAGCTTTAAAAAGACCACTGTTCAATCCATCCTCTTTAAATAGACAGAGTTTGAAACAATTGTTGTAAATGTACAAAGGCATGGCTGTCCATCTAAATTGACGAACCAGAAAAAAAGAGATAATTATTCAGAAAAGCAGCCAATAGGACTTTCAAAGATCTGCTGTCTAGGCTGGCATATCTGTCTGCAGAACATCTCTTACTCTACTTATCTTTTAATAAAAGGGCAGCAAGCAGAAAAACATTGTTAAAGGAAAAGAAAAACAATTTTCAGTTTGTCACAAACATTTTAGGAGACAATGTAAGCCTGTGTATAAAGGTAAGTTAGTCTGATGAGCCCCAACTTAAACTTTTTAAGCCTATAGTGTATGTTAGTGTGTGGGGAAAACAGATCCTGCAGATTAACCTGAACCTACAATTAACATGGGAAAGCATACAATTAACATGGCTGCAACACGCTGCAGGGTTGCTTATCTTGTTTTATTGTAATGCAGTTTGAAATTTCTTTGTAATGTACATTTCCGTGTGACTGTAAACTTGATTACCTTTCTACAACCTATCCTACAAAAAACAAACAAAAAAACAAGGAAGCTTTGAATGCTGGAAGGAAACCTATCACATGATGTGAAAGGACTGAGACTGGCTCAGAGGTTCACCTTCCATGAGGAAAGAAACACAAACAAACTTGAACAGCCAGAGATGTGATGATATGGCTTACAATTGATTTGATTGATTGATTGACTTTATTGATCTCACAGTGGAGAAATGTACTCGTTATATTGACTTAAATAGTCAAAACAAAAAAGAAGAAGGTGCCAAAGGAAGAAAAGGGGCTTTATTATACAGGGCTATTGCACAGGGTATTTGTATAGATGGGTATTTATCAATATAACTATTGCACTGGGTATCAAAGCCTACTCAGGAGGTGGAGGCAGCTCTAGCGCTTCTTGTACAGGGAGCCGGTGTTATGAGTCCAGTCCAGTTTATTATTGAGGTGAACACCCAGGTATTTCCAGGAATGAAAAACGCATGCGTACATAGGGTTTTGAATATACAAAAAAAACTAAATCGATATTGATATCCAGGGAAATATTCAATACAATTTTTGATACAACTGAGATAAAAATGATAAATAATTAAAGGCAGGAAAAAAAAAAACAGCTTGGAAAAACTCTCCTTTTTCAGTCTAACCATGGAACGTGCTTTCTCAACAAAACTAAAAATGCTGGATTTAAATCTAAAATTAACTATAGCAAAAATAGGCTAACTTGTCTTTAGTATCAATACAATGCCAAATTAGTATTATATCTGGATACAGTGTTTGAGTACTGATACCTTCGACAACCTTAGAACATGGATTCTCTATCAAATCTTGCTGATTTTGAGCTATTTCAATTGACAAATGGTTAACAATAGCATAC